ACAGACTATATCTGGCCATCTGCTGCCTGTAGAGTTCAATCAGAGAGAGATGAATGGTGGCTAAAGAATTTATTAATGGGCTGGGGATGTGGCACAAGCGGTAGCATGCTCACCTGCGTGCACGAGGCGCTGGGTTCGATCCTCAGCACCACATAAAAATAAAATAAAGATGTTGTGTCCACCGAAAAACTAAAATTCTCTCTCTCTCTCTAATAAAAAAGAATTTATTATTCAGGACTGAGGCTGTAGCTCAGCATGCAGAGAGCTTGCCTAGCATGCGTGAGGCACTGGGTTCGATCCTCAGCACCACATAAAAATAGACAAAATAAAGGCATTCTGTCCATCTACAACTACCAAAAATTTTTTTAAAAAAGAATTTGTTATTCAGTGTGGCCACACTGGGAAGAAACAGGGTGACCAATATTCTAAGCCCTGTCTTCTGGGTAGTCACAAGAGCTTCAGGAAGTCAGGGAAGAAACAAAAGCATGGGTCAAGAAGCATGTGCACATGGGCAGTCTTGGCCAAACTGATCTGGTGGATCATTATCTCGAAGGTGGTTCTGCAATGGTTCTGCTGGCGCCAGGGAAACGGGTGTTGTGTGAGGGGGCAGTTCATGTCCCATCATGAGATGACTGCCCCCCCCTTGGTGCATGGCGTCAATTCCCATCATGGGGTAACTGTTCCCACTTAGAGGGCTGTTTCTATCATAGGGCGATCTTACTGCAAGAATTGCTGTTCCTGCAATTTTGAAAATATCTTAATTACTCTTATCTTGGTGTCTTCAGCCTTGCAGAGGTGAAGTAAATTTAGGGCTCTCTACATAGTATTACCAGTTTTTAGACACTCCTTAAATGATTAATATATGTCTATGTGCAGTGCTGAGCAGGAATCTGACCCAAAGTTTAAGGTAGCAAAGGAAGCTCAAGCCCGGAGTCAACGCTTTCAGGAAAAGCAGACTTTTTCCCTGTTGCATTTCTGACACCAATTCTGAAGAACACCACACTCCCTGTTTCCTGCTCTCCTCAAACAATACATAACTTCTGTGACCAGATATGAGATTTTATTCCCCACACTCTAAGCAATTCAGCAGGCACCCAATGGGTACCCTATTACTCAATTCAATTCAGACATTATTTTACCAAAGTGTCAGATCCCACAGATTAAGGGCTCAGTTCCACAAGACTGTCTGTCACCTCAGATGCCAGTAAAGTCCTAGTGCTTCTAACAGACTTATCTATAAATGAAAGTTCTCAACACCCCCCCCCCCCTTGGCAATTTGCCAGGATAATTCACAGAACTCAAAGAAACACTTTTTGCATTTACTAGTTGTGACAGATGAACAGCCAAATGAGGTACACAGAGCAAGGTATGGGGGAAGGACCCAGGGGCCTCTTGCCATCTCCAGGGACCTATTACTTTGGATCTGAAGCGTCCCCTGAAGACTCACATGTTGAAAGTGTGATCCCAGCTGGTGGTACTACTGGGAAGTGGTGGAAACTTGGACAGGGGGGGGCCTATCTGATGGGAGTAGGTCACTGTGGGTATGTCCTTGAAGGGTATATCCTGAGCTGCCTACCACAAGGTGAGCAGCTTTATTCCACCATATACTTCCCACTATGATATTCTCCCTCCCCAGGCACCCAGAAACAATGTGCTAAGTGAGCAGATTGAAAATTCGAACCGTTAGTCAAAATAAATATTTTTCTCGCCAGGTGCAGTGTCCCGTGCCAGTAATCCCAGTGACTTGGGAGGCTGAGACAGGATGATCTCAGATTAGAGGCCAGCCTTGACAATTTGACAAGACCTTGTCTCAATATAAAAAGGTTGGGGGTGTGGTTCAGTGATAAACTGCCCCTGGGTTCAATCCTCAGAACTGGGATAAATAAATCTTTTCTTCCTTTAAGTTGATTTTCTCAGGTATTTTGTCACAGCAACAGAACACACAGCACCCTCTACATGCTCAGCAACCTGAAAGCTTGCCAAATCTCTGTTTTTATAGAGCTTGATCTGCCTTCCAGAGGCTGGTGGTTGGGGCTAGAAGTTCCAAATGTCTATAATCACTTGGTTTTCCTGGTGAGTGCTTCCATCTGGAGACTATCTAGGGGCCTAAATCACCTTATTAGCATGTAGCCTAAGCATACAAAGAGGCTCATGATGAAGAACAAGACCCTCCTATCACAGCAGAAATCCCAAGTTTTAGGTGCCCTGATAGGAATCAGAGACAAGACCAAATGTATACCATATACCACATATATTTAGATATGCTAATTCTGTTTAGCTTTCAGAATCTGCCAAACTGCTTCCCATAGCTGCTGCATCACTTCACGTTCCCACCACACTATAGGAGGGCTCCTATTTCTCCATGTCACCACTAAGTTATTTTTTTTCTCATTAAAATCACCCGGGCTGGGGATGTGGCTTAAGCGGTAGTGCGCTCGCCTGGCATGCATGTGGCCCGGGTTCGATCCTCAGCACCACATATAAACAATGATGCTGCGTCCGCCAATAACTAAAAAAATAAGTATTAAAATTCTTTCTCTCTTTAAAAAAAAAAAGTCACCCTAGTGGGTGTCAAGTGGCATTTCACTGCAATTTTGATTTTACACTTCTTTTAACAACCAACGGTGTTGAACAATCTTTCACATTTGATTTTTTGGTACTGGGAATTGAACCCAGGGAGGCTTTCCCACTGAGCTGCTTGAACAATTTGTTTGAGGCTGGCCTCAAACTTGCAACCTTACTGTTTCAGCTTCCCAAGTCAATGGGATTACAGGTGTGTACTACCTTGCTTGGTTGTAACTCTTTGAAGAATGTCTGTTCAATCCCTTTGCTAGTTTTCTAATGGGTTTACCTGTTTAATTTTACATTTAAACAGTCTGATATTAAACCCTTATTAGACTTGTAAAGTCTCCCCCAAGGGTCTTTTGACATTCATCACCTTTGCCACAAGTTAACTCAGATGAAGTCCTATTGACCTATTCTTTTCTTCTGGTGCTTTGGGTGTTCAATCTAAGAAACCACTGCCAAATCCAAGGAAATGATTTACCAACTTTTTTCTAATAGTTGTAGAGGGTTAGCTCTTGTATTTAATAATTATTGATCCATTTTAACAAGTGACAATATGTCCAACTTCATTCTCTTGCTTATGGTTACTATTGTCCCAAAACCACTTGCTGCAGATTCTGCTCCCCTGGACTAGTTTTGAGCCAGACACGGGACACCTACCTATAGTCCCATCTACTCAAGAGGTTAAAGAAAGAGGATCCCTTGTGCTCAAGAGTTTTGAGATCAGCCTAAGTAAAATAGTGAGAGCCTTAAAAAAAAAAAAAAAGTCCCCAGTGGATTTGGGAACTCTTGTCAAATATCAATTGGCCAAGCCAGATGTGGAGACACATGCTACTCAATTCAGGAGGCTGAGGCTGGAGGACCACAAATACCAAGCCAGCCTAAATAACTTGGTTTAAATAACTCAGAAAGACCTGGTCTCAAATTTAAAAAGGGCTGGGAATGTATTCAGCAGTCCAACATACACAAAGCCCTGAGTTCAATTCTGGTACTATTTAAAAGAAAAAAAAAATCAATTGGACATATATGCAAAGACTTATTTCTGGATTCTCAATTCTACGAATCTGTTCATGCCTAAATGCCAATGGTTTTTATTACTATAGTTCTGTGGTAAATTTTGAGATCTGGAACTTGTTATTTATTTCAAAGCCATTTAAGGCTATTCAGGGCCCTTCATATGAAAAGTGGCACCTCCATTTCTGCCTAAAGACACTGTTAATTTTGTAGGGAATATACTGTACTGATTTGGGAGTAACACTATCTTAACACTGTCTTCTAATCCATGTGTTACCTTTTTAGGTTTGTTGTCCACTCTCTGCCCTCATCCCAATGAATTTTCATGACTTACCTCTAATTTCCTTTTTCAGATTGTTTGATACTGGTGCATACAAAGTTTTTAGACTATAAATCTGAATTCATTGATTAGCTTTAAATTTCTTGTGAATTTTTTATGTATGAGCATATCATTTGCAAAAAAGATTTTTCCTTCTTGGACATTTCCTTGCCTAATTGCTCCACCTACAATTTCCAGTACAAACATTGAATAGCATGGTGAACGAGGGGACCCTTTTAGCTTGACCTTAAGGGAGAAACTTAGACTGGATATGAAGTGGTAGAGATTGCTTGACATGCACAAGGACTATGTTCAATCCATAGTACCTAAAAAAATAAAATAAAAATTAAGGGAAAAGTTGTCTTGCCCTCTCCCCAGTACAAGTCCTTGAACCCAGAAGCACTCCACCATTGAGCTACATCCCCATCCCTTTTTTGAGATTGGGGTCTCGCTACATTGCCCAGGCTGGCCTCCATCTTGCAATCCTCCTGCCCTGTCAGCCCACTGAGTGGATTGCAGGGGTACAACACAATACCTAGGGCAAAAGCTCATCTTTCACTGTTTTGATGATAGCTGTGGTTTTTCATAAACCCTTTTGTTGTGTTTAGAAAATGCCCTATTCCTAATTTGCTGATTATTTTCACTTTTTATTATGAAAGGGTGTTGAAATCTTGTCAAAGGTTATTTTTGCATTGAGATGATCTTGTGGCTTTCTACTGATGTGGTATATTCAACTCATTGATTTTATACTGACCAATTTTACATTCCTAGAGAAGCTCATTATCACCCCAGTGGCACACCACTAGCCTTTTTGCTTTTTTTAACATCTCCTTTGTGTTTAGAACTATCTTCTGAACTTAGAACTAAGTGTCCACCTCTTATTTCTGTACTCTTGAAGCTTGCTTTACTAACTATGGATGGAAGAAGTCATGGAGATCCTACAATTCAAAAACTGTATTTAATTACACATATGTGTGGAAGATAAAGTCATGACCGTTGCTCCTCTCCAAATATGGTTTTCGGTTTTAGCATTTGCTTCATAAAGTGCCAACAAACTATCTAGATGAGGGTCTCCCCAAGTGAACATATACCAATTCACTCCTTACCAACAGCATATGAATGTTTATTTCAACAAGCTGAAGTTTTTTGAGTTTTGATGAGACAAAATGTTTCATATGGTCCAATTTTGCAAATCTCTTATTATGGGACTATTATATATCAGATGCAATGGTGTAGTAAAGTATTTTACAGGGAAGCAACTAAGATTAGGGCTAATTTTTCCAAGGCAACCCTTTTGACTCTAATTATTAAGCACCCAATATATCAAAGGATGCTTACAAATGGATACATCAGGTGCATTTACAATATTCTCTTGAGAGTTTATTATAAACCAGTCTCATAGGCCACAAGGAAAATAAAAGGACTATGTACAGCCTTACAGGAAACAGGCAAGGAGCTGAGGAGGACCAAGATGAGTCTAGGGCCTTGGTGGGCGCATTCCCGGGGGAGGGGGCCCTGTAAGGGAAACCAGACAATCCGGTGAGACTCCGCGAGCAACAGCATAACAAACAAACAGGTCTGTGGTAACGTGGCCCTGGGGAATCGGGCCCACGCCTCTGTGGAGCTACTTCCATAACTCTGTGGCCAAGGGTCAAAGAAGGCCTGAAGTAAGAGTAAGAAGTTTAGTCAGTGCCTGATCTGCAACTCAGATCCCCGACCCTGCCCAGCCTCCCACATTCTGCAGTTACCAAGCAATGAGAGGGACATACACGGTGTTAACTGGGGACTTCTCTGGGGTTGACTGGGTTCCTATGTCTGGAAAACCCAAACTAGAAATAGGGATTATGGCTGTGGGTTATCTTAATAGCCACTATGGCTCGGAAAGAGCACAGGTCTGGGAAGCAGGATGCTAATTAAGCTTTCTCTGAGCCTACTTCCCTGTTCATGTAGTAACTATCTCAGTATTTCTCAAACTGAAGTTAAACAGAAATACTTAATAAATAATATCACAAAGCCCAGAGTTCTTCATTACTAGATACTATCAAATCAGAGGGCATATAACAACTTTATTGCCTTTATCAGGGATCCTCAGAATGCATTATTTATCAGTACCCTGAAGACACTGCCTTAGACTCTGAGAAGTACTCTGGGTACTCTAACTGTTCTGAAAGGGGAGGCAAGGCCAGCTCTTTCTTCCCTATCCTTTCTGGACAATGCTGCTCCCCAACAGTTCATTTCCTTAAACTTAAAACCAGAAAGCCCAAAGGACATGCTCTAAATACAATTTTCCCTTCACTTCCCACTGCCCTAGGCTCTAGGGAAAGAAGCCAAAATCACCTCAGCAGGCACTTACCGCGCATCCCTGGGGGAGGGGGCCGCATTCCTGGAGGGGGCATGCCCATCGGGGTCCCTCGTCCAGGGGGAATCCCCATTGGGGGACCCATAGGAGGCCTCATACCAGGAGGTGGGCCCATCATGCCTGTAAAAGAAAAGCCCCAAGAACACAGTTCAAATGTCTGTATGGAAAATGTAGCTGGAAACAAAGCTGTCCACCAAGTCAGATGGACCACTCCACCCTCAATCTCTACTAGCAAACTGGCATGTGAGCCAAAGAGCGGGGATCCCAATGGCTCTTGTTCAGCTAGCTAGTCCCAAAGTCAGTCAGTCAGGCTGGATCTCAGAGTAATCCTGCTTAATCATATAAACTCATCATCAGTTTCAGTCAAAGTTCTATCTCATCATGAATCCAGCTAAAGCATATTGTATCTATTCACACTGCTCTCTTTATGGGGTCCTCACCTGGAGGGGGTGCCCCTCGGCCCATAGGTGGTGGAGGACCCCCACGGCCTGGTGGGTACTGGGTTGGAGCTCCTGCAATACTGGCAGTGGCAGCAGCAGCAGCAGCTGCAACAGTGCCTCTTCCTTGAGGGGTCATCACCTAAAAGGACACAAGAAGAGTTAGGCAGAACAATACAGTGCAATGCATCTTCCCACTCTTTTCCCCAACTTGGTAAAATATCAGACACCAAATCTCCTAAAGCTACAACTCATGGCATCAGACGTCCCACCCAAATTAAACCTGAATATCCATTTCCTTTATCTTCTAGGATGCCTAATCCAATTTAAGGAAAGCCCTGTACTTTCAAATAAGACCAATGATATCTAATATTGTCATGGAAACATTTTGCTCAAATACAGTTGGTTAAGACACCTTCTGTATCTCCTCATTTTAATAAACACTGATAGCCTAACAATAATACAATGGTCATTCTGAACTATTCCTCAAGTTAGGGACCCTCCCTTTATACATCCTAAGCTGGGGGCTTCCCGATGCCTTACCTGTTGGGATGGCCCACCAACCCCACGGACTGGTCCAGCAAGACCTGCAGGAGCCTGGGGCATAGGAACACCAGCTGGGATTCCTCTGCCAGCAGCCCTGCCAATTCCTGGGCCCCCAGCAGCTCCAGCAAGTGGCACTCGAGCAATGCCAGTCTGAAAAATAAAGAAATATGCTCAGTGGCTTAAAGAATCAGAAGTATACTTTGGCATGTCATTGCCAAGAACATTTCTGATTTATAAGGCATTAAAACAGCTTATAAATATTACCTGCCCACACGTGCTAATACCATTCTCTCTCTACCTAACATTATATGCCTGCCTGTCACCACTGAAATCTAGAAGAAAATGACAATAACTGACTATATACACTCCTATGAAAATTGAAATCAGAGTAAAAGCCCAAGGTTCCATTCAGAAGGATTTCACCTGGCCAACAAAGGGACATAAGATCCACTCCTAGTTCTGACTCTCACCTGCTGGGCAACAGTAGGCAAATTCTGAGACTCAAGTTTTCTCATCTGTAAATGACTGGGTTATAGAAGAACTGTCTGTGGTCATAAAGACTTACAATGGGCTACACTAAAGTAGCCAACTCTACTGGAAGTACCAAGCATTATGAATAGATACACATGCTTTGAACAAAAAAAAGTTGGTAATATCTCTTGCAGATTTTATAGCTGAAAAAAGTTGCAATTTAAGAGTCCAAAAAAAAGGGGCTGGGGATGTGGCTCAAGCAGTAGCGCGCTCGCCTGGCATGGGTGCGGCCTGGGTTCGATCCTCAGTACCACATACAAACAAAGATGCTGTGTCTGCAGAAAACTAAAAAATAAATATTAAAAAAAAAAGAGTCCAAAAAAGGGAAAATGGCTTGAATAAACTATTACTTTGTACTCTCTTGAGAAAATATCTTTGAGTCACTAATATGACTTACAAAAAAGAATAAGTGGAAAAATATTTACAAACTCACAAGATAGCAAAATATCACATGCATATTACATGTTAAGTATAAAAAATACTTACATGGGTTAAAAAAATAGGGTATGGTTATTCTCTTTATTAACGTCTTAAAAATAAAAAAATGGGAAAAAAAACTTGGTTAGATTCTCTAAAGCCTGCTCTATTTATAAATGTAGTTTGGTGTTTACATAACCACGATGGGGATCAAATGTCAGTTTCACCATTTCCTAGTTGTGACACCTTAGGCAAGTTACTAAACCCCAATTTGTTTCATTATAAAAGTGAAGACAGTATATCTCAATATTAAAACAAAGTACTGAAGTACCTGGTACACAGCAGATGCTCAATTAACACTATTATTTTATAATTATAAAAAACACAATATAGATGTGTTCTATTTTAGAGGGTTAAGAATTTTTAAGATCCTCCTAGTCTTTGTCATCACATTAAGAAGTGACACAGATGGCCTTAGGTACCTCCTCCTATGATTCTATATCAACTGAAGAAGAGGGAAGCTTTAATTCAGAAATACTCCAATTCTATCCTTCTCTACTTCTTACTTGCAGGGTAACCTCTTTAAGATTCTAATGGGCTGGGTATGGTGGGTGCTCACCTGTGATTCCAGAGACTTAGGAAGCTAATGCAGCAAAAGAGTTCAAAGCCAGCCTCAGCAACAGTGAGCCGCTAAGCAACTCAGTGAGACCATGTCTCTAAGTAAAATACAAAAAAATGGCTGGGGACGTGTTTCAGTGGTGAGTACCCCTTAGTTCAATCCCAGGTACCCCGCCACAAAAAGATTCATAAACACGGGGGTGGGGGGATGGACGGTGTACGGGGCCCAGAGGATGCCTATGAGGAATGCAATGCAATGCAGGGCTCATCCATAGGCTTCTGGCTCAGACTCACATCTTTGGGAGGGGGTCCTTCTACTGTCATTGAGACCAGGTTCTCCCCTCGAAGCAGCACCAGACCAAGGACTCGCTTCTCTTCCCTTTCTGCTTGTTTGGAGTTCTTTGGCCTAAAGACAGGTTTAGAAGAAACAGAAAACAGCAAGCATTACAGAATAGGTCAAGCTTAGGTTCACCTGCCTAGGGGCCTCCAAGATCTCCTTTATATGCTGTATCTCCTGATAAATGGTAAACAGGTCCTCTGGACAGTCTCTATAGGCTGCATATTGTGACCCCTTAGCTGCTCTTTTCCTACCAAACCAAGAAGATGCACAGACCAAAAGACAGGACAAGAGGCAATAAAGTCCAGCCATGGCTCAGATGCTCTTTCCAATTTAACTGTGAAGGCCCTTTCCTTACCTTAAGGTCTTGCCAATGCCAAGAGGCAGCCTAAACTATTCCACAAGTAATATCCCATTTCCATGCAATGTCCTTCTAGGACGGATTCAACCTCACTGGCCTTCATATCTGTCCCTCATCTCACACCAGAAATAGAAAAAATGATAAAGGAAAAGGTAAGAAAATTTTCAAATATACAAAGGCTGAATTTTCTCATGTGAAATAAAAATTTTCACATCTATTCCTCAAAAGCAAAAACAACAGAAAATCCCAAACAGCAACAACCAGAAAAAGATGAACAAAATTAAAAATGTAAACTAAAACAAATAACTGCAATGGAATAAGGAAAAGGTATGAGGGATGACAGATGAGAGAAAGCCAAAGCCAAGATCCTCAAAATAAAGACAAAAATATTCTGATTTAAAAAAAAAAAAAACACAACTTATTTTTGTCATTTTATATTCTGTTAGCTGGTTTTCTGTGGATGAACTTTTTTTTCCCCTTTTAGCCTATATTTTCTTATTTTTTAATAATAAGCATATACTGCCTTTTCATAAGAAAATCTTATGGGTAAATATTTTTCAATAAACATGTTTATAAGTATAACACGAGTTTCACCTAAAAAACAGAAGGGAACCCATTGAGATAGTTCCCAGCAATCTGCTGGCCTCTCTGTTAATATATACTGGGCACTCAAGGATCTGTACTTTTTTTTGTTTTTGGGTGGGGGTGGTATACTGGGGATTAAACTTGGGTGATTTACCACTGAGCTACATCCCCAGCCCTTCTTATTTTTTATTTTGAGACAGGCTCACTAAGTTGCTTAGGGCCTTGCCAATATGTTGAGGCTGGTCTCAAACCTGCAGCCTGTTTCCCAAGTTGTGGGGATTACAGGCGTGCAGCACCACTACACCCAGTGATCTCTACATTTATTCTACTACACTTCTTGACTTTACAACACAAGGGCTGCCAAAAGAATTAAAGGGGATTTACAGTTAGTGACATCATAATATGGACACTGCATATGATAAAAGTATGCATATAAAGTCATGGGCTGGGGTTATGGCTCAATAGTAGAGCGCTCGCCTTGCATGTATGAGGCACTGGGTTCGATCCTCAGCACCACATAAAAATAAATAAAATAAAGGTATTGTGTCCAACAACAACTAAAAAATATAAAGTCACATAACCCCTTTGGGCCTCAAGATGTTTTGAATGTACGATAGGACAGAAAACTCAACACAACAGTTTGGCCAGAAGCTTAAGATTGGTGAGACTTAAGGGAGTTAGCCAATAACATAGCAAAGCAGAAAACAGCTCTGATTGTCTCTAAAATGCCAATAAAAATCACTGGCCCCAAACCCAAATGGGGAGCACAGCACTTACCCTGAAGAGGGTCAGAGGCTTCTTAAAGCAGTTTCAGACCAGGCTGCATTAGGAGAGCCCTTTAGGCTACAGCTTTACAAATAGGTAATGAGGCCAGAAAATCAAGCTCTCCCCCCTCACACACCTGTGGGGAGAACATGAGAGCCCTTTACCCCAGTACCCAGGGGCACGCAAAGTCAGAGAAACAAAAAGCCTAGCAGCCCTCCTTACAACCTATACTCTGCTAGAACTAGAGAACAAGACTTGCTGAACTAAGGACGGAGATTTCTTAGTGTTCAAGGTTCCCATTTAAGTCTGCCCTCGAAAACAGGAGAGCATGGAGGAACCAACTAGCTACTTCATCACATGTCACTTGTCCCAACCACCCAATCCACTCCCCTTCGCCAGTCCCCACCCCCAACAGCCCTCTCCCTCACTTGATCTTTCTGAACTCATCACAATCACAGAGGATCAAATTCATATGCTTGTCAAAAGCCTTGAAGGTGCCAATGAAGATCCGGCCATCTTGCAGGATGCATCTCATCCTGTAGTCGATGTGCTGCAGCATCTTGCTGCTCTTGCCCACAGTCTGCAAGGAGAAATCAGCAAGGTTGAGCTAATTCTTTTGAACTCACACACGCTTGGGCCTCCCTAAAATCTTCCACTACAGCTTTATTTTTAATGTGCCTATCTTATCTTTCCCAATAGTCTTAGCTCAATTTCCACCCACAGCCCTTTCCTGGGAATTATCCCATGCTACCCTGTTTGATGTCAGCCTTGACCTCTGTCCAGTAATTTGCTTTCACTATTCCCTTAAAAACCAGTGTTTCTCATATTAAAATTGCCTCTATGTTGTGTCCATTTCAGGGAATAGTGTAGGATGCCCCCAAACTAATCAAATCTACCTATCCTAGAGAATAAGCTATCTGCGTAGACTATAGGATTATGACTATGGGACATCCAAATCCCATTTTAAAAACTGAGTAAAAAGTTGGAGGACTAGCCCTAAAAAAATTTTAAAAATTAAAAAAAAAAAAAAAAAAAAGGTTTTGTTTTTGGTGCCAGGGATTGAACTCAGGGCACTTAACCACTGAGCCATATCCCCAACCCTTCTTATTTTTTATTAAGACAGGGTCTCACTAGATTGCTTACAGCCTTGCTAAGTTGCTGAGGCTGGCTTTGAACCTGAGATCTTCCGGTCTCAGCCTCCCAAGCTGTTGGGATTACAGACATGAGCCACCACGCCTGGCTGGCCCTAAACATCTAATCAAGAAGCTTATTACCAGAAAGTTGATCAGCTTAGAAATGAGGCCAATGGAATACCCAAATCAAAAGTTTGTTTGTGTGCCTCCAAGACTTTCTGAGAGTGGTGGCCATGGTACTAACCAGTTTGGGCACATAATAAGTCTTTAAGATCACAGAACACTTAATTCTTAACCCAACACTTCTACTTTCACAAGTTAGCTTTCAGTGTAGCCTTGCTAAAATAAAGACTATATAGACCCCCAACATATGAAATGTCAGGTGGCCATGGCAGTTGTATTTCTCACTAGAAACAAACCACCCAGCATTTGATCTCTATAATCAGCTTCTCATCAATCTGACTGTTGTAAGCCAGCCCTAAGCCCTATCCAAGGGCCTTTTTTACCAGGCATAGTGCTTGCTGTTTATCTCAGTTTGAATGTTTCTGAACCCTTATAAATGAACTTTGAATCCCCTAAGGCACTGTCTGCTACACTGAAGACCAAAGTTATGTGGTTCTTTCCCCTTCAAATGGTCATTTTAAACAGCTTCTATCCACAGGGATCTGAACCTGTAGGGCAACATTCATTTGTCTATTTACCTTATAGCAGCTGTCACTGGAAGCTCACTATGTAGTCAGGCACTGCTTATCTCATTTAATCCTCAAAAAACTGAGCCCATTTGCCAGGCATGTTCGCACATGCCTGTAATCCCAGCAGCTTGGGAGGCTGAGGCAGGAGAATCACAGGTTCAAAAGCCAGCCTCAGCAAAGGCAAGGCACTAAGCAACTCAGTGAGACCCTATCACTAAATAAAATACAAAACAGGGTCAGGGTTGTGGCTCAGTGACCGAGTGCCCCTGAGTTCAATCCCTGGTACCAAAAGGGGGGGGGGGGGCATTATCATACCTATTTTACAGATGAGGCCACTGAGGCCATGATAGCTCATATAACTTGACACGCCACACAGCTGACAAACTATATTGAAACTGTCAGCCAATTCTCCAAAGAATGTTCTACTAGGTTTCCCTCCTTTCAGTTTATCTGATACATAGCAGAGCCATCTTTCGAAACCCAACTAAGTTCCTAATATTTTGCTGGTTAAATCCTTCAAAGGCATGCCTCATCGCCAACAAGACAAAGTAACATGCAAGACCCTTACTAACCAGGTTCCTGCCAATTCCTCCCATCTCTTCTCCCTTTCCCCTCCAGCATCCTCCAGTCGTCCTGTCTTTGTTCTTAGGTTCTCCAGGTCTATAACATTCTCTCCCATTTTCGCCGAGAAAAGTGACAATTTTCCACAAACCATCTACTGGAGAAAGCATTTTTACTCGCCCCTCTCCGTTACTCTCGCCTAAAGCTACATCCCCACACTGAACTATAGCATTCCATCATCCGCGTCCTCTACTAGAAAGTGAACTCGGTGAAGGGAATGTGAATATTTCATGGTGCAGCCCCAGCGCCTGGGAAGTCAGATACACGCAAACATAAAAAGTGTACTTAACAATCGAGTCGAACTCCTCCTCCGAACAATCTCACCCTCCCGCTTCCTCCTCCCCATCCCCTAGACCTTTGGGCAACTGCTTTTCGGGCTCCCACCCCTTTCAAAAGTCTGGGCCTTACAAGGGATCCTCTCTAGTATGGGGCTTCAGGGTCTGATCCGAAACTCTGGACACATTTATTTAGCAAAAGTTTTCTCCGTGCCTGCCGGGTCCCTCCGTGCCTACACGGTTCTACCTTCGCCACTACCGAGCAAGCGGGCCTCAGACCCCGGATTTCGGCCTTCCTTCCCTACCCACTGTCCCGCCGGTCAATGTTCAGGTCTTTTTGGCCCGGACCGAGTAGCCGCGGCCTTCGCCGCCATTAGCGGCTCCAACCCACAACTTTTTCCCCTGCCCGCGGCGGCCCCCACTCCACAACAGACTCGAAAGCTCCTGTGCCCCTAGCCCACGTCTTCTCACCATGGTGGCGGCTCTGATGGCTCCGATTCCCGCCGGATTCGCCTCCGCAGAGGCCTAGACACCCGCCAACAACCGGATTCCCGCCGTCGCTACCGGAAATGCAGCCACCAGCAAAATGCGGTCGGGTAGAAAGCTACTTCCGGTCCCGGCACAGAGCCCTTGAGTTCCTACCGGAGGGAGGAGTTGCGCGTGGTGGTGGAGGCGGAGGTGGGTTGGGCTGGAGAGTGGGTGGTGGTATTAACAACAAAGAACGCACGCCTGCTGGAGCGGCTTGTGTCACAATCACCTTTCTTCCCCTGCTTATCAGTTAACGGTCCTCATCTACCACTCTCCCGGACATTCTCCTCTACAGCAACTGTTCCTATCTAGCTTCGCTGCTCCTGCCTCAGCACCTCTGCATTTGCTTTTGCCACTGTCTGGAATAATAGCCTCCCACGCCTCCAACTATGTGTAATACTAAAGAAATCACCCTCAAGATTTAAGCTTAAACCTGGCATGGTGGCGCAAGCCTGAAATCCCAGCAAGTTTAGGAGGCTCAGGGAGGAGAACAGCAAGTTCAAGGCCAGCCTCGGCAACTCACGGAACCCTAAAGAGATGCTGTCTCAAAATAAAAAAATAAACGAGCTGGGAATATGGCTAAGTGGTTAGGCCCCCTGAATTCAATCCAAAAAAGGAAAAGATTCAAGCTTAAAAAATATTTCCCCAGTGAAGACTTATCTGGACATCCTATTTAAGTCCACAACCTTCCCACCCACCTCACCCCAATTTCTGCTGCACCCCCAGCCTCCACATTTCCTCCCCTCCACCCCAGAAAATTCAGCAAAAATCAACTTGAAAAAGATCATTCTAAAACTAAAATAGAAGAAGAATGATGGAGGTCCTGAATTCAAAGTCATGACTCAAGCAGGACATTTGTCAGTTAAGTGAAAAGGCCCAAATGGGATGGAACTTAAGACTTTGGAGTGGGGTCAGATGGTAGCCCCGAAGGATGTAGGAAGCAATTCGATTTGAGAATGAGCTCCCCAGTTCTCTGAAATACCCCACCAGACACATCTAGAACTTCACCCTTATTAGTAGGGCTTTCCAGGTACTTCAGAGATTTGAATTTAAGACCACGGATCTCATGTAGGAAATAAACAGTACAAAGATAGCTCCTCCTCCTCCTTGGGCACCAAATCCAAAGGACTGGGAAGTGCGGGGCTTGTACCTCCCTTTCTGAGGGTTCATGCTGCCATGGGTGAAGGAGCCCTGATTCCAGCAGCCCTTCCAAGAGACAAAGCCTGAGTGAACAGTATCCCAGAGAAGCCACTTTTCAGGCTACAAAAAAGACCTCTTTACCCCATACCTTGGCTAGGCAGGGCTGAAAGTCCTTTTCCTGAGCCATATCTGAAGTTGCTACCTTTAGTGTGGATTCAATTTTTTAAAGAAATCTAGCTAGGCATTTTTGACAACTACTGGGGCACACCTGTAATCCCAACAACTAAGGAGGCTGAGGCAGAAGGATCACAAGTTCAAGGCCAGCCTTAGCAACTTAATGAGGCCCTAAGCAATTTAGCAAGTCTCTAAGCAATGTAGCAAGATCCTGTCTCAAAATAAAAAATAAAAAAGGCTGGGGATAGCGGTGGCACAGGCCTATTATCCCAGTAGCTTGGGAGTCTGAGGCAGGAGGATTGCAAGTTCAAAACCAGGCTCAGCAACTCAGTGAGACCCTGTCTCTAAATAAAATACAAAACAGGGATGGGGATATGGCTCAGTGGCCAATTGCCCCTGAATTGAATCCCTGGTACAAAACAAACAAACAAACAAACAAACAAAGGCTGGGGATGTAGCTCACTGGTTAAGTGCCCCTGGGTTCAATCCCCTGTACCAAAAAGGAAACAAAAAAGTGTATAATTATTTTAAAATGTGCACCATTTTCATCTTTCCCAATGACAAGACACAGGAAGAGGTATTGGAACTATCTGGAACAAGAGCCTATTTCTTCATTCTTCAGACCCCTGGAGAATATATCCCCATTGACACTCTTTCCTCCTTCCAAGCTTTCCAGTTCTGTCCAGATGCAGAGACTTGGTGCCACAGTGGATAGTTCTAGCAAAGGCACATGGAAACGTGACAGTGTGTTGCTCCACATTCCCAGGCATTCACACCCTTCCCAAAGGCTGATGCCCAGAAGTCACTAGAAAGTTGACTCCACAGACAATGTGGAGGTAGAGGCCCTGGAGCTAGTGCCTTCCTTTGGGCTCCTTTTCTGCCCTCTCCTTTGATGGGCTATAAAAGCACTCTGCATTTTCTGACTCTCCAAGACAGATATCCATTCTGTAGGCTTGGAAAAACTCCAGTTGGGCAAACAAATTTGCGGGAGCCTAGGCAGTCCCTTTCCAGTGAATAGCTATTGGCCCAAACAGAACCAGAGCCAGGGCAGACAGAGTTGTCAAAAATCTGGACGAAGTAGAGGGATGATTTGGAGAGTCATTAGCAGAACAGGATCCTAGGATGGGAAGGCTGAGGGGACATGGTATTGCAGCTGCCCACAGGGGTCTTTTGACATTATTGTTGGTCTGACATGAGAGTGGCTGTGCAGTCCGAAGCACTGACTCATGCTTAGAGAGAAGTCTGGGCATAGCTAGAGGACCTGTCCCTGGAATCCAGAAAGCTGCAGAGCGGGTGTGGCTAAAGACTCCCTGGAACCAGAGGATGTGAACAGACAGCTAAGGAATAGACATCCTTCAGGGGGTAGAGAAGGATTCAGCAGAGACAGAAGGAAGGACACTCAGGAGAGGGAGCTTTCACAGCACAGAAGCAAGTGGAGTGGCATCAAAGGCCCTGGAGGCCCACAAAATCCCCTCTCTGCTGCTGGCCGGCCTCCAAAATCTAATCACTCCTTCTCATGCAAAGGACTAGACTCCCCAAGAAATCTAGTCTAGGATTCTCAAGAATTCTATCCAAGCAGGAAACCCAGACCATGAATTTGAATTCCTTGACCTTTTCAGTCAGATGAGTGACAAGGTCCCACAGCCTGAGCTTCTTAAAGAGAATATGACCAGAACAAGGGACAAGAAACCATGGGAAAGAAATGGTGTATGAAAAGAAAACAAGCGGATCATTCTCTGATGACTTAAATAATGCCTACTTTTTTTATTCCATCTGATTACAAAAGTAGAAAAATGTCTACGTAATTGTTATTGCCTTCTTTACTCTCATTCAGAGGGTTGGGACTGGGGATATAGTTCAGTTGGTAGATTGCTTGCCTCGCATGCACAGTCCCTGAATTCAATCCCTAGTACCACCAAAAAAAAAAAAAAAAGAGTACCTACCGTTGGGTTAAGACTTCTGCTGAATGGACAAGGCAGTGATTTAGGGTGGCAAGACTCTGCCCTCTTGTCAGCTCAAGAAGAAAATCAGGGGAAAACTGCTTCTACCAAAAAGTTGTTTTCCTGGGAAGCGTGCCTGTTTTATAAGTCCTTGTCAGTTCCCTTCTGCCCTCAGGACACCCAGCGCTGCTTCTCTGTATACCCTGGCGTTTGCTGAGGGATGACGCAGCCAAAGCCTCATCCACACCTTTCACACCTAAGGTGCTAGATTAGGTTCCCTGGAGACAGAGATGGAGAATCAGGGTCCACCATGGAGTGAGGGCAGGACTGGGCAGAGGAAGAGGTTGACCTGCAACATATTTGCAACTGAGAGATCATTCAGTCTAGGGGGGATTTCTGGATCTGGAATGATCCTTGGGAACAGGGGTGGAGTTTTAACTACTGGTATCCATAGGTCACTGGCCAAGAGCCCCTCTTGGGAAAGGGTAGAGCCCCCGATTCTGTAGCTCGCTGTGGCTAAGAGCTGGTGCTAGAGTTGAACCCATCTCTGCAAGCAGCAGCTTTTTTCTCTCAAGCAGCTGGGGTGTTGGCCTTGAAAAGGTCACCTGGGCAGGGTCCACAGCATCCCCACTCATAGATTCTCCCTGTGGCATATGACCATAAAAGGCCCTCTTGTGGTGACTTTCACTCTTTTGCGGATGCTCACTAACACCCTGAACATGTGACACTTATTCCTCAGGGCTGTCACTGGATGTTCCCAAGTCTGGACTTACTGCTAATGCTCCCCCCGCCCACAGTCCCTGCACACACAAACCTTTCCCCCTAAGAGTGTCCTCTTGTGCGTGGTGAGGCTGACCTGTGGCTACAGAGTTATCCATGCTGTACCCTCATGATGTTCCTCTCCTCCACGTGTCCTCTCATGTCTAAGAAGGGTAAGGCATCTCTGAAACATCACTCATACTCCACACACACGTGGGGACCATTTCCTATGTGTCTCTCTGGTATAAGATGAAGTTTGACTGAAGGCTCATGTCTTGCCCAGAATTCTTGCCCAGACACACAAGATTCCCCTCGTGTGTCTTCTAGTGTCTGATGAGATTTGATTTCTGGCTAAAGCCTTGCCCACACTCCCCACAAACGTAATGCTTCTCCCCGAGTGTGTCTTCCAGTGGACAAGAAGTTGTGGCTAAAACCTTACCCACATTCAGTGCACACAAAGGCTTCTCTCCTGGGTGTATTCTCTCGTGTTGGAAGAGGGTTGATTTGCAGCAAACGCCTCACCCACACTCCCTGCAAACAGAGGCTTCTCCCCTGGGTGTGTGCTCTGGTGGTTTCTGAGGGTCCCCTTACCCCCCCAAAGCCTCGTCCACATTGCAGGGGCATGGAGGGTTTCTCACCTGAGTGTGTCCTCTGGTGTCTGAAGAAAGATGGCATCTGGCCAAAGCCTTCCCCACGCTTGCTATAAATGCAGAATTTCTCCCCTGAGCAAGTCTTCTGATGTCTACTGATAGACTTATTTCTAAAGCTTTGCCCCACTCCCTGTACAAGAGAGGTTCCTCTTCTGAATGTGGGCTCTGTCGAGGCTGAGCTTTTGGCTAAAGACTCCGCCCACTCTCTGCACACATATGGCAAGTGTGTCCAGTGGCGTTCCAATGATGTCTGTAAAGCCTCACCCACCATCACTGCAAACACAGGACTTGCCCAAGAGGGTCCTGGCGTTTGTAATGAAGTTTGGCGTGGGGTTACAGTCTGGCTCACACTCTCTACAGCTGACTGCTCCAAATCTCAAGGTTTCTAACTGCTCCAATCCTTTGTCCAATTGTACAAGGTTAACCCTTTGGGCTGAGTAGGGCTCTAATTCTACCACCGCATTAACTTCTCTAGGATTTGTTGACTGTCCTTGGAATGTACTGGGTGATGTGCTCAAGGTCTCTCTCTTCACCATCCTCCCACACAAGAGTTTGAAGCTACCTTCTCCCTCTTAACTTCTGGACTTTCATTCTAATAACATGGCTGCTACTTCTGCTGCTTCTAACATCCTGGGCTGGAATCTCCTGGAGGGAAGAGACTTTCTGCACATGACTCTGGAAAGATCTGAAGCACATGCTGTTGAAGAACTGCTGACAGGAGAAAGCCAGAGGCAGGAGGAACAGGGGAGATTTCTGGCTTTGGCTCTGCTGAAAAAAAGGGAGTTTTGGGTTAGAGGAGCCACAGCAGGGCTGCTGAGCTTGGCTGTCTTGTCTTAGGATAGAGAGGGTCTTACTGTCACACCTACCATTGATAATATATATACAACACAATTTGTTTCCCACTTGTAACTCTTGAATATTCCACTTTTACATGCGACATTTTCTATTAAAATCCAGAAAATCCATATCAAAAACATCTTCTATGTGTCAGATAGGGAATAATTAGTCTATTCCTTCTACTAAAATCATCTAAGCTACCACTATCACCAAGTCAAATGTCACTTCCTCAATGATTTCAAATATATAATTTCAAAATTTAGCCAGCCAAAGCCAGGCACAGTGGCACAGGCCTGTGATCCTAGCAACTCAGGAGGCTGAAGCAGGAGTATCGCAAGTTTGAGGCCAGCCTCATCAACTTAGCAAGACCCTACACAACTTAGTGAGACCCTTTCTCAAAATAAAACAATTTTTAAAGGGGGTATAGCAGCCAGAGATGTAGCTCAGTGCTAAAGCACCCTGGGTTGGTACTCAGTACCAAAAACAAACAAACAAACAAAAAAGTCAGATAGCCACCCTGTCACTCATACCATTTATCCTGCTTTATCTTATTATTTTTTTAAAATATTATTTTTAGTGATGAACACAACATCTTTATTTATTTATTTTTATGTGGTGCTGAGGATCAAACCTAGTGCCTCACACGTGCAAGGCAGGCACTCTATCACTGAGCCACAACCTCAGCCCTCATTAGTTTTTACTATAAAGTGATTACTACCCTTTAACATACTATACTATAATAGCCCTGCATATGAAGCCTTTTATTTATTGTCTGTTGCCTTACAATAGAAAGTAGGCCTAACGGAGCAGGAGTTATTATTTCATTTATAAATGTGTTCTATTGTGTCTGTCTATAACTAAAAAAATATTTTTTAAAAAAATGTGTTCTATGTGTCTAGAACATTTTCTGGAAGATAGCAGGGGATCAATAAATCTCTACTGAATTAAGGAAAGGAAAGAAAACAGCCTTACCCAACAAGAGCAGATTCCTGGAGATTTCTAGCATCGCTTCTTTGTATAGGTTCCTCTGCTTAGTGCTCAGTTTTCCACTTTGGCTCCCTGCAGATCACAGTTACACTCCTGAATGTAACTAGTACCTACAAAAAAGGAGTAAGTGAAAGTACACCAGGCCACCACCACTTTCTACAGTGTGAGGACCACAGCTCCCCGGCCCTGGAAAGTATGGACCTGCGAGAGCTGGATCTATTTCATTTCAGGGTACATAGTTCTCTATCTAACTTTTTCTGGGCATGACTACATGCCTGGCTTTCTGTTAAAATCTGTGTAGCACATAAGTGACACAAAACAAATTCCAGACCTTCAAAATTTTATGGTTTCTTTGGAAAAACTATGTGTGCATCAATAGAAAACTGAAGCAGTGTTCAGGACAGTGATCTTGAGGCTCCATAAGGGAGGGATTCAGAGATGGAAGAACAGAGGATGGGACAAGAGAAGAAAAACAACCATCAAGGATGTGGAACTTACGCTGGGCACCAGGGGATAGCAAGGATTTAGAGAAGAAAATATTAGAAAACTTTTTTTTTTTTAATTTTTATTTTGCAGGACACGATGGTTCATACCTGTAATCCCAGTGACTTTGGAGGCTGAGGCAGGAGGATAGTGAGTTCAAGGTCAGCCTCAGCAATTGAAAGGCCCTAAGCAACTTCCGGAGACCTTGTCTCTAAATAAATAGTCAGTACTATTAGATGGCAGACCTAAGGGAAGAAAAAGAGGCTATAAGATCAGAACTCCCGTGATGCTCAGGAAGCAGCTCTTCTGAAATCTGGGATGGGGAAGTAGCCAGTTGACTCAGCTGTGACCTAAAACATGGTAAAGCTGGATATCTGGCCCCCTCATCACCTCTCCAGATCATTAAAAATTCTTACCTTCTGCCTTGTGATTTTGAGTCAGCTACCTCATGGTCTCCATATCTTCCCCATTTTTGAAGGCAAAACCTTTTCCTGCTTCAGATCTCCCAGGCCAGAGGGATCAAGCAGCATCATGGCCTCACAGTCCAGAGTATGGCTTAAATTTCCATTAGAAGGCCAGCGAGATGTGATTTCATCTCAAGATGGAGTTCTGCTGCTGCAGTGACCTCTTCCAACCCTAACTCTAAAAGCCCATCCTGTTTCCATGCATCCAGGGTCCATGGGATAGAGAAGCCATGTGATGTCGCTGGGGCCTTTATTGTGGTCCCTAAGCCCATGACTCTTCAGCAAGTATCCCATCCTTTCACACCCTCTTCATTCAACAAGCATGGAGTTTCCATCTACAGGGGCTCCCTGATTTTCTGCCTTCATTCTTTTCCAGCCTGTAGGCCCTCCACTGTCTCCTGCCACTCTCTCCTTACCTTTCAAGACTTACAGGTTCTTCCATCTTTGCATCATAGATTCAAACTCCATGCTTTGGATCAGTCTTTGCTCTCTGAAACCCAAGTCTGAGAGAGGACAGAAGATAGCGTAATGCCAGTGGAGAAGGAGCCCCTGAACGTCTCCTTCCAGACCAATCAGAACATGCAGGATTTAGCTTCTAACTCCCCCAGGCCAAGTTCCCATGTATGTTCAATCCTCATTGTCTCTGTACTCTGCAAAGTTTTGGGGAACTAAACTCAGGAGAGCTCCATGATGACTCTATTAATATAACCCCCCTTTCTATTTCTATGTGTGCATGCCTCTTAGCTTTATCAGATATGTGCATTCATGGCTTTGGGGGGGCCCAAGTCTAAGTACTTGATTCACATGGTCCTGAAAGAGGCAGGTGGTGTTAGGAGGAAGGCCACCTGCAAGAGCTCCTCAAACACTTTGTCCAGATTCTAAACCCAAGAAACTACAGTCCTCCTGTTGCTAGAACCCTTCTGAGGCTACCTGGAGTTCCCCTGAGGTGCTCCTGAGATCCATCCCACAATACCACAAGCAGAGATGCTCACTTCTTCTGTCAATTTGGGCCTCTGACCTTGGTCACATGATACTGCAACTCCACTATATAATGTTTTTAGAATTTACATAGCTTTTACTAGACTTTGAGCTTCTTGTAATAAGAAATTTCCTCTGGGGCAGGGGTTGTGGCTCAGCAGTAGAGCACTCACCTAGCACAGGCAAGGCCCTGGGTTTGATCCTTAGTACCACATACAAATAAGTAAAATAAAGATATTGTGTCCAACTACAACTAAAAAATAAATATTAAAAAAAAAGAAATGTACCTCTGTCATTTTGCTAGTGATCAAAATAAAACAGGTCTTCGCGATAGACTTTATCACTGTCCCCAATTATTGTTTCTCTACAGTAGGACTGTATTTCCCTGCCCAACATCAGGCTTGGCCTTGTGACTTGCCTTAGACAACGAAATGTGAGTGAAAGTAATAGTGCCATTTCTAAGCACTGCAAGATTCCATCATCTCCTTTCTGAGAATAGCGTGTTTCAAAAAGGGATGCAGGTTCTACTGTGAAAAGGTCATAGTGCAGAGCTACAAACTACACAAAAGGAGGAATAAGACTGGATGTCAGGTTGGATTGCTATGAGAGCCACTGAGACTCACGGGTCATATATTCATACAGCACAACAGCCTTCTTTCTCCTAGCAAAACTGGCACCTGTGGCTAACATGACAAGGTGGGTGCTATACTAGGCACAGAGTTCCATTACTCTCCACAAGGCAGCCCAGAGGTAGATATCGTTCATCTTTCCATCTTACAGAGGAGGAAACCGAAGCACTAAAAGTTCAGCTTTTCTTTGACCTTAAGATTACATAGTAGCCACTGAGTGTCAGAGCCAAGCCTAGAATTCATGATTCTCATTCCAGAGAATGTTCTATGGTAACAAACAACCCTTCAAAATGCCAGTGCTTGATAGGATGAAGATTTATTTCTCACTCAGCCCCCATATCTGTCAACTATAATTGTGCCATCTGTCATCTTCCCTCCAGGATCAAGGGTAACTTGCTATTTGGAAAATGGCAAGCTGAGTGGTGAAGGGAGATAAAAGATGAAGAACCAGGCCTGGGCTCTTAAAATTTCTATTCTGCTGCCAGCCACAGTGGCACATGCCTATAATCTCAGCAATTTGGGAGGCTGAGGCAGGAGGATAATAAATTTCAGGCTGTTATTAGCCTCAAAGTTGTTGACCAATACCCTCAGCAACTTAGCAAAGGTCTCACAAAAGTAAAAAAGGTTTGGGATGCCACTCAGAGGTAGAGTGCTCCTAAATTCAATCCCTAGTATCAAAAAATATATAAAAATTTAAAAAATTCTACCCAAAGAGAGATTTCTGATCACAGCTCACTGGCAAATCAAATCACATGACCACTCCTGAGTTCAACAGGGTAAGAGGTATAAACCTCTAAGGAGAGGCCACAAAGGAAGCACACCAGGATATTTGATGAATAGTAAAACATGCTACTCCAAGGTCCTGAAGCCAAAACCCATTCTCACCCAGCCCCAGTCCTCACTACTGATGGGGATAGCAATATGCTAGGATCTATGGCTGTGTCTAGGAAACGACTGTGTCTCTGCACTTGTCACACCATCAGAGAACAGGCAGGGATGCTGACCAGAAAAAAAGGCTAATAGTACAGAAACAATGCTTAAATTTGGGTAAAATTGACAGGCTCCAAATGCCAATTCCACCTGGACCCAGTCATGTCACACAGGCAAAAGTTTCTTAACTTCTGTACCATGCAATTTCCATAAAATGGTAATCCTGACTCCTAATATTCAAATTGTTGAGGGAATAAAATATTGTGATGACTGTAGAGCCCAGCACCTGGCCTGTGCCAACTGCCAATCGATGGTGGTTACCATCAATTTTTTTGATTTTCATAGCAGCTGACAAAGCCCTGGGAATCCAGCAGCCATGATGAAATGATGTTGGCACAGGATGGTGGGAACCTGAACAAGAGCACAGGCTTAGAGGAATATTCCTTGTCAAAGCTCTTGCCCTCAAAACAGCCCTGGGGGAAAAAAACCTGGAGCCTCAATGGGACATAGCAAAACACAAGACATCAGGAGAAACAAAGCAAATTTGCCCATGGTTTGGAGCAAAGAAGACTTATAAGGTGGAAGGTAAATAGTACCCACCTCAGAGTAGGTTGCCAAGATCCCAGAAGACTTTATAGAAAGTACTTTCCTGGTAGGCAGGGATCTGAGAAAATGGACCTGAGGAGAAAACAGGTAGTGTGAGCTTCAGGATTGTCTCCTGGCCTCAAGAGCCAGAGGAGAAATCCACAAGTTTAAAATGAAGGGGCTCCTCTTCTTAAAAAAGAAGAAGGGGGGGGGGGAGGAGGAGGAGGAGGAGGAAAGAAGAAAAAGAAAGAAAGAAAGGAAGGAAGGAAGGAAGGAAGGAAGGAAGGAAGGAAGGAAGGAAGGAAGGAAGGAAAGAATAAATCAATCCAGGGTGCAATTCTGTAATCCCAGCAGCTCAGGAGGCTGAGACAGGAGGATTGTTAATTTCAAGAACAGCCTCAGTGAGGCCCCCAGCAATTTAGTGAGACTCCTATCTCAAAATTTAAAAATAAAACAATAAAAAGGGCTGGGGATGTAGCTAGCTCAGTAAAGTGCTCCTGGGTTAACTCCCCAGTTTTTGTTGTTGTTGTTTGTTTGTTTGTTTGTTTGTTTGTTTGTTTGTTTTTTAAAGCCATACATCTGTCAGAGAAGAATGAACACAGCTTCTGGGAAACAGAGCCAGGTGTGGGCATCAGAATACATTACATATTCATGCTGCCATTACATATTCATCCTTTAAATATGTATAGGCCTCAAGTTGTAATTATTAGTACTAGTTAACACTTTCTACACTCTTATTATATACCATAGGATTCCAGGAACCAACAAGTTTTATCTCCTAGACACTCCTGAACTGAGGCACAGTTACATATCTAGCTCAAACTGACAAAGCTAGAAAGTGACCAGATTTGAATGCTAGTTGTGCAGTGCCATACCCTTAGCTAATTGGGTCAGTAATGACCAACCCATAGGGGGGTCTGACAACTCTCAAAGTGTGTCTACACACAGGACTTGAGGGGATGTAGATGAAAAAAAAATATATTGGTCTTGAGTTAACAAATACTGAATTTGGTGATGGGTGCATGAGAGTTCACTGCACAATCTACTGGGTAGATTCAAAAGTTGTCCTTAGTCCCCCCCAAAAAAAAAATTTAAAGATAGAATTTTAATTTTCCTGCTCCATCAGAGGCTGGAAGTGATTTGGATAGTCAACCAATATCCCTTGGAGGTCCCCATCCTACCTAACCAAATATCCTCAAATACATGAGAGAAAAGCAGAGAAGGAAAGGGGAAATCAATCAAACTGGCCATTCACATTACAACCAAATCAGGGATCTTTGTCACAAAGCAGAATGGGTACCTGTTGTTCAAGGAACCTGGGAACAGACCTGCCCTCCATCAAAATTCTGCCTACATAAAGGCCAGTGTGGTGTAGTCCACCACCACCACTTAAGGCCAAACCACCCCCCACCATCAAAAAATAAAAATTAAACAAAACCCTGTTCCTGCAGACCAAGGATATCTGACAGTGTGAGACTCACCTTCACCAAGCCCAGCTCCCACCCCAACGAATCAAGTCATATCAAGATCTGAGACTCCCTCCTACCCACATCCACCAACTCACCACTTGGGACAATCTAGCTCCACTAATAAAAAACCAAAAAACAAAAGCTTTGGCATTCATGATCATCCTTGGGTTCCCACAACCATTTGGAGATGCAGGACCCAATGAACGCTACTCCACCCAAATCACCCTGGGATACAGGGCCCTAGCCTCACCTCCACCACAGAGGATGCTCCTCTATTTTTATCTATTTGGCCCTGACTAAAGTCAACCTCACAGCCCAAACAAATTCAGAATGCATGACTGGTACCGTCCTCCCAATCCGGGAATTGTTTGGTCAAGATAATCCTACTTCCTTCAAAAAAGAAATCAGAGTTCCAGGTCCCTGTCACCCCAGCCAAGGGAAGAAATGTCAAAGTAGCTCTAGCGCTCAGCATCTCTGGGGCTCAGGGCTGGTCACTCCCATTGCTTCACCCCCACTAGCCACACTCTATGCGTGTAAGTCTCTCACCAAGACCAGGTGGAAGGGGCCCTCAGGCCATCGCCGCTGACCCACGCAGAACCACAGTTCCCAGGATCCTCGCAGGTTAGGGCTCCCCTTGGGCGCCAAGGAGCCGCTTATGGGCCGTGCAATGGATAATTTACCAGCATGATGCAATAGCTGCTGTAGCGACAGCCTCCCAGTCTCCCGCTGAAAACAGATGCTAGTTCCCGGGAGAAGTGTCTAGCATCCTCAGCCCTTCTCCAAAAAAGGACTACATTCCCCAGAAGCCTCTGCGAGGACTTCCGCAAACCCTTTCAGACTCGGGGGCCAAGCGGCGAAGGGACTTCCGGTTATCGAGTCGGGCCTTCGGTCGCGTGGGTTAGCGGATGTGCTTCTTTCTAGGGTTTTCTGCCTCAGGAAGCCGAAGCCCCTGGGCACCCCACTTACCCTAAGCACCCAGTAGGTTCGACTTCGCGAACCGGGGGATCATCACCATTTTACTCGAGGAGGAGGCAGCCTGGGCAAGTCCATCTCCCCACGTCGCAGTTGGAGCCCTTACCCGCCCACTTCCCCAGGGGCCCAGTTCTTGTCGAGGTCCTCAAAAAAAAATAGTGACAAATTCTCGTCCAGTTCTTGGAGGATGGAAGCCACACTCAGGCGTTTTCATCTGACATCCTGATCGCGGGTGTCTAATCAGTATTGAGACTGTAAAGTGCAGAAGAGGTTCCCGTGGAGTCTTAGGACTTGCAGTTCCGAAGACTCAGGTTCGGGTGAACCCGAAGTGTGTTCCAAAGAACGGAGCCAAGGGATTGGGTTTAAGAAAGAAAAACCCCCAAAACATTTGGTGCAGGCAAGCGTCAAAGTCCATAGTCAATTGATCAACTTGCGGCATCGCTGTGGGTGGTCTGTAGGCTCCATTTCCCTCGTAGAATTTACCGTGAATTCACTTGATTAAGAACTGGCCTACTCTGGTGTCTTTGGCCACAAACTAGTTAGGGTTCTGTGGGGAGAAACAAACAAAAGCAACAACAACAGAAACCCTACTTCACCTCCTGGGAAGAACGTTTCAATTGTAATGGTAAATGAATTGAATTTTCTTTGTTGCCAAAAAGGAACTAGATTTTGGGCTCACCCTTTTAGAGTATTTCTGGGAGAAATCTATTTGTAAATCACTTGCCCTTTTGGTACGTATGTAAATCTTTTGAAAGACTGAGAGAGCCGTCTTGTCAGCTTTACAATTTAGAAGTGTTTTTCTTAAAAGCCCCTTTCCAGCCACGTCTTTGAAATGTTACCAGCTGCCAAAGCCAAGGAACCTGCCTGGATCCCAGCTGTCTGGATCCAGCCCCTGGCTGTGTAAGAAACAAAAGGATGTAGAAAGGGAAAATGAATTTAATACAGTTTGATCAAACGAGGGGAGAAGCCACTAGATTTCCTCCATCCCCAGAACGGTCACATAGGTGGATTTAGCTAGGCTCTGCTAGTGAAGGAACAGGCCAGTTTTAACTTCCTTAGCATTAGCCTGGGCCAGGGAGTAGTTTTCTAGTTTCCCTTTTCAGCATGAGGAAGTTGAAGAACTACAACAAATCAGATTTTAATTTGAAAGGGGCCCTGTTTCATCCCTATCTCCCTGTCACAGGGACTCTTATTGCCTACCTCCAAACTGTCCTGCTTGTCAGAAACAAAAAGGTTTTTTTTTGTTGTTTATTTTGTTTTTTGTTACCCAGGGAAGCTTAACCACTGAACCACATCTCCAGACTGTTGGCAACAGATCCACCTTGGCCCCTGGAGCCCTACCTCCACTAGTTTGTTCTGCATGCCAGTGTGGCCAGCTCACAAGGCCATGGCGAACTTGCGGTTTTTCTGTTCCTGCTTATCCGTCTGAGACATATGTATCCCACGGGAATGCCTTGACCTTTTCTGGTCTGATGGACTTCTTGTTAAGGGAGGTTTCGGTACCTGACAATAATAGATGTTGAAACTAAATTTCTCCCCCCTCCCTCCTGCTTTTGGGTAGTTTTCCACTTCTGCTGCTTGGGGTATTAAAAAAGGTGTGTTAGCAATAAAGATTATTGACTCCTGGATGAAGAACCTTGGTGTCCTGTGTGTCTTTTAACCTCGCCGTCCCTCGCCGGACTCGGCTCCCTTGGCCGGACGCGGCACCAGACCTTTTTTGTATTTTATTTAGAAACAGGGTCTCATTGAGTTGCTTAGCGCCTCGCTTTGGCTGAAGCTGGCTTTGAACTTGTAATCCTGCTGCCTCAGCCTCCTGAGCCACTGGGATTACAGGCATGTGCCACTGTGCCTGGCTTTAATTTTTCTTTCTGACAAAGGCAATTAATAGCTCAGTGTTTACCCCAATACCAGGTGAGTTTAGGATGAATTATGAAAAATTGTATGGCAAACAATGCCAAATCCTTATTTCATTTCACAAGAAGACAAGTTATCATTAACCTTGTGAACAAGTATGTAATGAGTTATATCTGCTTAACTACATTAAAAAGTGAGATTTCTAAGGGTAGATTCAATCCCTGGACTCAATCTCCAGTACCTAAAAAAAAAAAAAAAGATTTCTTTCTGTCTTTGGAATCTCATTAAGAGATTGCTTATGATGTGCTTTAGCCTGGTTTAATGTTATTCAATAATAAAAAGTGCTTTCTATGTTTGTAAGAAGAATCTTCCTGGTTGGTGTTAGCACAAAATGATTCAGCTGGGTATAAACTTCTCAGATCAGCACAGCCTTTATTCAGTGATGAAATCATACATCTGATGGACCCACTTTCATGGTGGAAAATGACCAAAGGGGCAGTCTGTGCTTATGTAGTTTACACTGCAAGGTGACTTAATTTTTGACAGAGCGTGTCTAATAGAGGTTCTAGGGTCAGCATTCAGTATTCATCTCTTTCCCTCCTGGGTCCCTTTATACTGTCAATGGGAAAGGATTTATTTTGGGAAGGATGGATGCTTTGGCTTCTTTCCAGAGACTGCTATCCCAGACTTAATGGATATTTTCCTCCCCAGTGATTGTCTTGCCACTGGATGATGTTTGCTTCCTTTCTAGGACTTGGTTGTCACTGGGAAAGACTATTGGGAAAGGATCGATGTTTTCAATGTGCTGCCTTCTTCCTCACGCCCTCTTCCCAGGCCACACTATTTTCCATATCTTACAGTTGGCAGAAATTTTTGGTTTTTGTTTTTTCCATCATCCTTCTTTCCACTCTGTTATTTATCTTCACCTTCCCTATGTCAGCCTTCTGAGACTTCTCTGTCCTGCTCAAGAGTCAGAGAAAATGGCCGAAAGCCATTGTGAGCCAGGAGAGAGAGAAAAAAATCTTCCTGAAATGCTGTTCTAGCTGTCACAAGAGTCACCCATCCCTTTTCTTGTCTGTGCCCATTGTAATTGTTACTCAGCATATGAAAAACTGGGCCAGTTTAAATAAACATACAAACTGGAGTGGAAAATCTCTGTCCCTTCTGCTCATTTTGCTCTGAACCTAAAATCTCTCTAAAAATGAATTGTATTTATTTGAAAAATAAAACAGAAGAAAAGTTAAGAGAACTTTGCAGAGTTTTTACTGGTTCTTGCCCCACTCCCTCCCTGGCTTAGCATCTATCTTAAACCTATATTCACAGCATGAACCTTTGGTTCCTGCTTCCCTCCAAAGGAAGCAGAGCAAAACTTCACAAAGAATTGTATTACTGAGCCAGGCTCCCAGCGACTAGGGAGGCTGAGACAGGAGGATTGCAAATTTGAGCCCAGCCGCAGCAATTTAGGCCCCAAGAAACTTAGTGAGAACCTATCTTAAAAAAATAAAAAGGGCTGGGAATAGGGCTGGGGATGTGGCTCAAGCGGTAGCACACTTGCCTGGCATGCATGTGGCCCGGGTTCGATCCTCAGCACCATATACAAACAAAGATGTTGTGTCCGCCGAGGGCTAAAAAAGTGAATATTAAAATTCTCTCTCTCTCTAAAAAAAAAAAAAAAAAAAGGGCTGGGAATGTGGTTCAGTGGTTAAGCGCCCCTTGGTTCAATCCCCCTACCAAAAAAAAAAAAAAGAATTGTTACTGTTTCCAGCTGGTGTGTGAGTTACCTTAAGTGTTGAAGCAAATGTGTACCTTTGCCAACTCAGAACAGTGTTTTATGTGGAGGGCATCCTTCATCCATCAGAAACAACAGAAGGAAGGCAAGTAAATACCCAGCCTCCAGCTGGGACAAACAATAGAAATAGATAACCTGGAAGGAAAAGTTGGGGGTGAGCTTCTGGAGGAGAGGTGGAGACACAACCCCAGGGGCAAGGGAAAAGGACTTAGCTTCTTGGAGGAAATGCAGGGAGACAACTTCTAAGGTGAGATACCGTGTTGAGTCTGTGATGTGAGTGGTGTGAACTTAGTTTCTGGAATTGAAACCAAAATCCACCTTCTGCTAGTGTAACAGTGGTATACTTTTGTTGTTGTTTTACTATTGTAATTGCTATTTTATTGTTGGGTCAGCTCTTTTTTTTTAATTGATTTTTAAAAAATGACAGCGGAATGCATTACAATTCTTATACATGTACAGCACAATTTTTCATATCTCTGGTTATATATAAAGTATGTTCAAACCAATTCATGTCTTCATACATGTACTTTGGATAATGATGTCCATTACATTCCACCATCACGCTAACCCCCTGTTCCCTCCCTTTCCCTCACACCTCTTTGCCCTATCTAGAGTTCCTCTATTCCTCTCATGTTCCCCCTCCCTACCCCACTATGAGCCAGTCACCTTATATAAGAGAAAACATTTGGCATTTGTTTTGGGGGGATTGGCTAACTTCACTTAGCATTATCTTCTCCAACGCCATCCATTCACCTGCAAATGCTATGATTTTATTCTCTTTTATTGCTGAGTAATATTCCATTGTGTATATATGCTACTTTTTTTTATCCATTCATCTACTGAAAGGCATCTAGGTTGGTTCCACAGTTTAGCTACTGTGAATTGTGCTGCTATAAACATTGATGTGGCTATGTCCTTGTATTATGCTGTATCCTTTGGATATAGACCAAGGATTGGGATAGCTGGGTCAAATGGTTTCCAGTTTTCCAAGGAATCTCCATACTGCTTTCCATATTGGCTGCATCAATTTGCAGTCCCACCAGCAGTGTATGAGTGTGCCTTTTCCCCCATACCCTCACCAACACTTGTTGTTTGTCTTCATAATAGCTGCCATTCTGACTGGAGTGAGATGAAATCTTACAGTGGTTTTGATTTGCATTTCTGTAATTGCTAGAACAGTGATATACTTTATGCTTTGACTATAGTCCTTGCTGATCTACCAATGCAGCTTACTTTTAAAATGTACATGTTTCTTCCCCCCACCTTAATCTCTCTCTCTCTCTTTCCATAATCCTCCCCTTCATAATCTCATGGGAAACAGGATTACCTTTCTTCCCCATCCCAGGCCAATTTATCTGTCCTTGAGCACACTCCCAGGAACCAAGTAATTCAGATTTCAGAGATGACACTAAAAGATCTAAGAAATGACTATTTCCCAAATTAACAAGTGAATACAACTTGGACAAAGAACACGGAATGCAGTCTGAATCACCTCCTTAAAACCCCCTGATCCCCTGATGAGGAGAATCACAGGCTGGGGACAGGAGTTCCCTGTTTCTCCTTTCCTAGTAAAGCAATCAAACTTCTTTTTCCTTTTTCTCAAAACCTTGTCCTTGTTATTGGATTGTCATGGGGAAGAGGCCCAAGCTTTCCAAAACATGAGGACAAGTATGGACTTGGCCTTTGGGGTAGGGAGTGCGTGTGTAGCTTCTGGATCCAGAGGCAAGAACCTATCTATGGTGAGGGAAGTAAGAACGCAGTCTCTGGGGTGAACAGAGGGGACGTTTCTTCTGGAGTTGGTAGAAACAGCCTCCAGAAGGGGTACTGGGGACTTGGGCTCTGGGGCCAGCAGTGGGTACTTTCCTCCAGAGAAAGAAGCAGGGTTGTGAGAGGTAGCCAGTCAGCCAAGAACTGAGTGAGCAGAGAAAGGACAATGGAGAGTGACTGAAAACCTCCGGGAGCCTTGTCTGAGAAGCACCTGGAAAATGGGGGCCTGCTATGTGAAACCTCCCCCAGCGGTAATGATGTTCCTGTAAGGAAAACTATAGTTTTAAGATCATGTCACATCCTACCTGGTGGCCTAGACCCTCCCTCATCATGGAAACTGTCACAACCCCAATCACTCTGGCAACCTAAACAGTAAGACCCTCACAAAGAAAGCTTGCTGAGGGCTATTCAAAGATTAATAAGCCTTAATTGGAGGCAGGAAATTGAGGCAAAACGGAGGTGGGGGGGGCTTAACTTCCCAAAAGTCTGAACACCCCACTATCCTCTCTGGGAGGCGGTCCACGCCCTTTCTATGCTGTCAGTGAAAATGTGAACCTGGGCTGGGTGCTGTGGCGCACACCTGTGATCCCAGTGGTTCAGGAGGCTGAGGCAGGAGGATCACCAGTTCAAAGTGAGCCTCAGCAATTCAGTGAGATCCTAAGCAACTTAGCAAGACTCTGTCTCTAAATAAAATATTTTAAAAAGGGCTGGGGATGTGGCTCAGTGGTTGAGTGCCCCTGGGTGTTCAATCCTCGGTACCGAAAAAAAAAGTGAACCTGGGCAGGACCCTCAGGAAAATTCCCTGGGACCCCTAATGAAACTTGAGGGCTGGAGGAGGGCATCTCCCTCAGAGGATTCACTCTTTATCTTGTGAGTGTCCTCTTTTCTGTTTTCCTAGCCCTTCTAATAGACCAGTGCCTGTTGCTCTGAGGGACATGTCTGAAGTCTCTCTGGCGTGATTGCAAGAACCAGAGTGAAGGGCAGACCTTTGCAGCTGCCCCAGCTCCGCAGCAGGCCTCTGCCCGGTAACATTAGGGACCACCTATGGAGCCAAAATCTGGACTCAATCTCTGAAGGTTGAGTTGTGGACCTCACCTGGGGAAACAGATCTGGCACTTAGTTTCCAAATCTAGAAGCAAAGTCTTAGACTAGTGCCGCAGTCTGGCTGGGCACACAATCACGAGCCACCACACAGCTTGTAGATTCAAACAGCAACTCTTTATTC